TGTAATATATATTCAAGTGGTTGTCGAGCAATCCCCATCTTAGACCCTAATTAAAAATATTTTCTTAAACAAAAAGTGTAAGCTGTATACGCCATCAGAAGCAGAGAAGTTGTCTGCTGCTATAAACGTAAACTCACACCTTTCCCGCCTAAATAAACGAGAGACATAAGGCGCCAAACTGCTTCCGAATTGTATTCGCAGTAAATTTTTTTTGACCGAAGCCCCATCCAACGCTCACGCACTATAACTGCCATGCAGAACTGAAAGGAGCAATGAACATTGAACACCACAGCAAACGAAGGCTTACAGAATTGTTTTGTTCGCAAAAAACTAATTACGGTAAAGAAAAGAAGATAGTAGAAAACCTATAATTGAAATTACATTATTCACTTCCGCTCGTAAAGAAACGCGAACGCATTCCACTGCAATCTTGTTCTCGCTACAGCGCTCCCACAAACAAAGCCATCGCTTACATACAAGACGCATGAAAAGTCGTTTTTCACAATATCCACTAAAATACTTCTTCAAGCTGAATGCATTCAAACGCTCGATACATAAATATACTTTCAAAAAACTTCTCTAACGAACTTCACATACCAATAACAATGCAACACTAGAGCAGTTAACAAATTAATGTTACTGATCATTTTCAAACTTGTTTCAAAACGCAATGCAGGAAGGGCTACCAAAAGCCCCCGAAACTCACAATAACCTAGGAAGTGTTCTACCGGCCTACTCAATAATGGTTTAACGAGCTACATTCAAAATTTGAAAAATGCAACTTACCAGATTTTCAGCAGCAGTTCATCTGGAAGACTATTCATCGCAGACAAAATTTACCTCGTGAATTCTATGGAAAAAGAAACCCTACAAAGTTGTCTGAACGTTCCTGGAAAGAATTAGATTCAAAACTGAACCTCTCTACCAAAAGTTTGCATTAAAAGTCTCTTACACCTGCCATCAGCTGCTCGAGAAATGTTGGATGTTCACCTGCGTGTACGCAACAGTTTCAAAAGCCACTTTCACTAAATTCATTGAAACAGTAAAATTTACTCCGGTTATTACGTTTAATACTAAACAGTTTTGAACTGCTTTCTACCTAACATTGAGGCGCTTTAATTTATCCTCACCAGTACTTTTGTGTATCTAAAACAGACATTGATGACGTTTTCTGAAAAATTTATCGTCACTTCCTTTCTCACAAAAGCTTTAGGTCCCAGAGAAAGTAAAAAATTTAAAAAGTCATTGAGGAGGTGAATACATGGTAACCGTTTGCGTAACAAAGGAGGCAATCATTAGTAACAGAGCAAATGAGTGAAGACACGCTACAAGCTTAAATTGGAACAAAAGAGTAAACTAATCCCCTGATAGCTAGGAGATCACTCATTTGCATTTACAGGCATTGGCTACAGACATTGTACGGCGCCTCTATTGTAACATGCGGCGCCGCTACGGTACAATGCAACCGAACGCTAATCTTGTAGCTTTGTACTTTCTAAGCTAAATTAGCATATTCCCTAACAGTTTGCTTCGGCCATATTACTTTTAACGGATTGAACCAGAAAAGGAATACCTCCGGGACAAACACTTATGCGCTGCACGGTGCCGCCTCCGCACTTCAAATCTATGGACCCATGTAACTGCAGAGGTGTCACCATAGAAGAGATTCAAAAAAAAAAAGGGAAACGAAAATGACTTTTATCTTACTACGCCGGATGAAAACACCTTGTGAGTGGCACGTAAATAAAAACACGTGGGTGAGCCGCCAATCAAAAAACTGAACTCTAAGGATAAAACGCTGCTATTGCAAAGCCATGTTTTTCAATAATTCTACTGCAGTCCAGTAAAATGGCAAGTGGAGTTCATCAAAGACCGTACTCGGACTTTTAATGAGCCGGAAAATGCGATTACTCGTACAACAATCGATGTTGCAATTTTAGATCAAGGGATACACATTGCTATTTTTAAAAGCTTCAAGAGCCACCTGAGTTCACCTTACCTTCTTTCTTAATTGATACCTACTGCACTGTGACACATAGAACGAAAAAATAAATTTCCTTCAAAGACACAAAATGTCGGAAAGAAGTTCTCATTTGAAGAGAGCAGATGACAATGCAAGCGTACCGAAAGCATGAGGTTAACATGAATGAGACAACCAACGGTTAAACAATATTTGGAGAAGAAAAATTGTTGGTTTCGCAACATTTTCTGCTAACTTCTTCTCACCATTGTTTGGAAAATAAGGACTTATGCTTCAGAGGCAGCAAATTCCTTCCTATCTCCTCCAAAGAGGGAAAACTAATTGTTTCGCAACATTCCTTAAAATTGTCCATTGTATCGCTGAAAAGACGACGGTTCGCAACACACAGTACTAAACTATACTATCTGTTTGTGACAGCGCTGCAGCGGCAATATTCAAAGCTTTCATCGCGATGATAGGTCACTGTGCAAAACTGCTGCTCTTTCAGTGTTCTGCTTTTGATGTCCACTTAGCATCGTAACTATGGTAATATCAATTACCAATCACGAGGATATTTTATGCTGCAGGTGACAGGAACTTCTGTGTCCGAAGGAATTGGAACATACGTTTGAAGATATTTCTGAAGTGTTAAAAATACCTCAGCACCCGAGAATTGCGATAAGCGATTACTGGTGTGGCCGTACACTGAAGGCCACACAGAACATAAGAGCAAAACAGCAGTTATTTTTGAAGACTTCGTAACACCAGTGGTAATTATGATGAAAAGCAAATCACAACTGCTCAAAATACCAATAATCAAACTCGTTTTATTGACCATCGAGTCAGGTGTGAGTCCATGCATTGAGGATTCAAATGGAGGAACAGCGATGTCAGCTTTGCAAGAGTTGGCAACGTCTTCACGGCAGGCCTGGAGAAGAAGACGTAACTCATATTGTGACACAGAAAAAAATAGCAGTTAACAATAACACCAGATCCAGGAAGTCTCTGCGAAAAACTTCCTGAACTCATTACCTAAAAGACTAGATTTTAACCTTTATTGCAGTCGCTGAAGAGTATCTTTTTATGCATCTAACAACTGTGCTTCACGGAACGCAGTCTGTTAAAGCTTGGCAACGTCAGTGATCCAACTCTGTTCGACTATATAAGCTACACTGGTACCTAACTGAGGAACGAGAAGAAGTAAATGTCACGTTCAGTCAAACACATACCTTTCTTTCCCATGGAAACTAGCGACAACACCTGCCACATTGCTTTCGTACTGTTACTGCATTTACGAAGTTTTGACTAGGTTCCAGTCTTGGTCCACGTTCAAGGCACTGTCAACTGAAAAAGATATAACACTCCAGAAGAAACAGCAAGATGTTCATAAAACTTTTTAAGAAATGCACAAGCTTTAAAATAACGAATATAATAAGAAGAGACGAGAAAAACGTATCGATAAAGCAATCTCGAATCATTCCTTCCTGAATTTTAAACATTTTTTGAAGCATGTGCGTTGGCTGGTCACCAGCGTTATGTTGTACGGTCACCAGCCATTTGTTTTTCGGTTGTCATCTCCGCAAAAGCCTCATAAGCTAGCGTGGTCATAAAGAATAAGAATGTTTTCCTTGAGACGACAACGGTCGGTGTTGTAACGTTTCCATACTGAGGTAGGTGAATTACACGTCAGCCGCTAGCTAAATGGGAAGTAAGACCTCTTTTTTTTTTCTCTCAAAAAATCTATTTTTCTTATTTCGTGCACGTTTTTGTACGCATTCAGCCCACTGTTTCTTCAAATAAC